TGCTCTCATGCATTTAAATATAAGGTAAAGCAATGGGGATTTGACAATGTCATGTCAGGGCTAACAGACAGACTGAACCATAAAAGAAATAACATACATCAGTGTTTGTGCGTACATTTATACATTTGCCTGTTTGCTGGCATATACATGTAACATCAGTGTTGTAAGCAGCTGTTAAATTTTAGATAAGAAAAATTCTAACCTTCATTTCCATGGTCCACGCCAATCATATATTAAAATGTCACCGTGAACTCTTTCATCACTCGCTACATTTATCACAGAAAACTCCGACACAAGACTGTTCATCGCTGTTAATGTGATCGTCAGAATTTCCTCGTAAACAATTTGCGCAAGAATATATATATCCCTTTAAAACTAATGCTCCCTGTACGCAACCAAGGATTTTATGTGCTTCGTAGATGTGGATTAAACGTGCATGTCTACATACGGCTCGTACGTTAAGAAAATGTACAACTGTCACATATTTTCTTCTCATTTTCTGTCTGTAATTCCGACTTGCATGGCTACTTCCGGGGACGTACTAAAGACTTGATATACTAAAGAACCTGATATTCGACCTGATGATTTTTCAAAAAATAAAATAATCAGATTGAGTGTTATACATGATTTATTTTTAAAAATTATTGATTATGAAGCATTATGCTATACTAAACTACACTTTTTTTTTTTAAATATTTGCCAACAAAGCATCAGATCATATCACGTTTTTCGTATATCGGGTCTTTAGTGTCTTCTTCCCACAATGCCGCTCGTGATTGTTTACATCCAGGTTACAAACAAGAGGCCCCGATTAAGACTCTTTCTATACGGATGCATTTGTAAATGTTGATTTACCTTTACTTGTGTAAATAACTTGCATTTATAAACGATTTATATAACAGAAAACAGAGAAATCGAATCAAAACAATTTATTTAAAACACAACAACTATCTAAAACCGTACAAGCATGTGTTACGATGCCCTAAAAGGCGTGGCTGGTTTGTAGACAACTTGTTCCTGTACGATTCTCGAATAATTATTATATAAAATAGAATAAAATATAGCACGGAGCTTGTTTCTCTTTATACCACATGACAAGATTTAATATGTTAGAAATTATGTCATTCAAACTTTTTCATAATATTTTCATATTTTTAGCTATCCAAAAAATACTTTTATGACCTGCTGTCCCCTGAATATAGGGGCCAGCCCCTCTTTCTTGATGTTATCTGAAAGCTCTCGTAATTACAAACAACTTTTATTCTATATGTCTTACCAAATTTTTATCAGTTTAAAAGTTATTAAACAAAAAGCAGCAAAATTTCATGGAAAAATAATTCTTAAAACTTGCCGTCACATAGCTTCCGAACTTAAAAAAAATTAGCCTACAATTTTAATGTTCTGCGCATCTGCAATGTATTAGTTAAAAGTTCTCCAGTTTTCATGCAAATATCATGTGTCGTTATTGAGAATTCTACTGGACAAGAGACCCTCCAAATATCGATTAAAGGGCAATAACTCATGAAGGGGGGTATATATCAAAAATTTGAAAAAACCGTTTTTAGGCAATAACACATTGTATCTACCCTGAAAGTTTCATAGCAATCGGACAAAAGGTCTCCGAGAAATCGCCTGCTGAAAATCGGCGGGAAAAAAAATATAAAATAATAATAAGAAACAGTAGAATAACAGTAGGGTCTTCCGAAGGAAGCTCGGAAGACCCTAATAATAAGAAACAGTAGAATAACAGTAGGGTCTTCCGAAGGAAGCTCGGAAGACCCTAACTAGCTAGACTCTTGTTGCCATGGCAACAAAAAAGTCTTCCGTTCTTCTTAATCTGTAAGAATTTGCTTTTTTTTCTGTGTAAAAAACATACATATCATATTTACTGTGAAAGAAAAAAATAACTGGAAAAAAGTCCTTTCATTACTTAAGGTACTTTGATTTTCATTATCAGTCTTGTATAATACAGTTGGCACCTATAAGAGATATACGTATATCATTAGCAATTTAAAAAAAATTGTCTGCAATCATTTCTAAGACAAACAAACAGACGAACGAACACCGTACTATCATAAACTTCATTGTGTGTATATTTTGGTATAATTGTGATAGTGTTATAAAAAAATATAATGAATTAAGTTAGTATCACACTAAACGTAAAGTCACCGAGTTTTATGAAGTTATAATATCAAGATTTGACAGCATACCTATAAGACAGATTATTCAATTACAGTAACTCTTCAGTAATCGATTGATTGATTGATTGATTATACGTATGTTGTTTAACGTCCCTCTCCAGAATTTTTCACTCACATGGAGACGCCACCACTCGCCGGTGGAGACTGCAAATTTTTGTCCTATACTTTGGCACTTATCGCAATTGAGCAGTGGGGAATCTTTTTTATGCCAGCACCTTCTGCGACAAGGGACCTCGATTTATACGATCTCATCCAAAGGACCGGTCTCCACGTCCCACAATCGAAGTTCATAATACCGAAATATTTTATTTTTTATTTTATTCTATTTTTTCACAAGTTTGTTGCATCAGATTTACTTAAAGATCATACTTCAAAATCATTTCAAACTCGGGCTACTTAATTGCAGTGCATACAGCGTCAAGTGATTTTAATTGACAGGTCAACACAGGTGCACTTCGTGTGATACTTTTTAAGCTGAAAAATATACAGGATGTGACCATGACTGACTATGAAATCAGAAAACATTTAATAAAGAATGGGTGTGACCGATATAGAACTAATTTTTGCTCTATGTAAATGGATAGGAGGATCGGGATTAAGAAGGAATCTCTCTCTCCTCACTCTCTCTCTCTCTCTCAGACGTAAATTGAACATTTCATAATGACAAATCTACCATTATAGAATATGAAACTCTGTATACATGTAAATGGTAATTATATTCACATGTTCCAGATTTCAATCTAAAACGAATATATAATTCAAATGCTAGCTGCACGAACGTCTCCAAATATTAATCAAGACGGGGGGGGGGGGGGGGGGGGGGAGGGAGGAGGCTTCAAAGGAATTAGATAGTTTTATGTTTTATGAATTATAAGAAAAAGTACGGACGTCAGTTGCATGTACATAATTATATATCATTGCATAAAATTGTGTTCATTCAGGTATACTTATCCCACATATCAAGAGACCTGTGCAATTTTTTTTTCATGGTTTTTTTTTTTCCAAAAGAAACATATAGCGTACCATTATTTCACACAGAATCGCGTTTTCACATATATTTTTTAACTCTTTGAGTATTTCACAAGAATCCAAGACTCGTCTTTTCACATCCTTTATAATTCCTTAGGTATATAGAGTATAGATCATGTGTCATAAATGATTTAACTTTTTATCAAATATACATGTAATAACCAAATCTAATCTATAGATTGATTTTCTTTCTTTTAAGTGGCAGATATCAATTTATTTATAAAGGCTTTAAAACAGTACTGTATTACAGTTTTCTATCGCTCAATTCCTTTTTGAGTGTATGTAATATTTTTTAATATCGAAAATAAAACTCGGAAATCGGGATAATTTCGCATTCAAATCATAGAGAATAATAAATCGTCTACATTATAGAAGGCTTATAACTATCGTATTCTGAACTTACTATACGAGATAGATAAAATTGCATGCCTGTCCATCACTATAAATGTATATTCAGTGCTTATAATATATTTACTTGAATTAGGTACCTAGCATATATATTAATTTTTTTTTTAGATATATTCATGTGTAAATCAATTAACTGTCAATACAGACTTACACTACACTGGCAACTGGTAGAGTGTATATGTCTCTGACGTCATCGATACTATTTCCGCCTTTATCTCGAAAGTTCTATTCTCACTTACAAGTCAGAGTTATCTTTCTTTGCCCATTGTATACACACTAGGTAAATGGAGAAAATGACGGTACCTAAAATCTAGAAAATGCGCAATCCAATTTTAAAACAAATTATATATTTAGTGTTTGTAGAATTACCGCTGTTATACAGAATAATATCTTGAAAAAATATTAAAAAATAAAAAAGTTGAAAATTGACCAAACACAAGTTCATTTCCGGTTCGGACAGGAAGTACCGGAAACACACGAAAACAACTTCGAAACAAAGAGAATGTCATGATCTAATACTCCTGTAAATTCCACATCTTTACCTCAAACCGTTTCCGAGAAAAATTCCTGACAAAAGTCCATTTAAAAATTGGAAATTCGGCCGTAACTTCGGACCGGAAGTGAATTTTTCAAAAAACGGAATTTTATATAAACTTCATATATCAGCCTACTATCATGTGAAAAATTGTGAAAATCTATCCAACCATCTCTGAGTAATCGAGCTCTCAAAATTTGGGAGGAATAATAATAATAATAATAATAATAATAAAAAGAAACAATACAATCACTATAAGTCTTCCGTTGTGAACGGAAGACTTAATAATAATAATAATAAGAAACAGAGTAAAAACAATATGTTCCCAAACTTCGTTTGGGGAACATAATTATACAAACATAGAAGTGAATTTTTTTTAAAAGTTCTGTAAAATTACCAATCATTGACAAATTTCACCTGAGTCCGACTCGCTCCATTGAAGTCTAATTAAAGAACAACAACTCTAAAATTTGCAAAATCATAAAATTTTGGTTACTCCCCTTTGATGATGTAAAATATGACGTCACTTCAAGGCCATTCTCGGGATATTTTTATCGCAACATGATAATAAAAATCGGCATCAATAAAAAGTTTAAATCTTCGGCTTCAAGACAGAAACAAGTAAAAACACGGGAACACTCAGATTTAAAGAAAGTTTATTGCTTGAAGTTGTCCGAAGCAAGGTATGTGTCCGATGCATGGTTAACTCACCCTATACCTTTAATTTTGTTATGGGGAAAAATTGGGGGTTTTTAAGACTGAAATTTTTTGAAGTTTTGAAGGATGTTGACTAAAACTCTTAAAATATAATCATTTTTTTGCAATAGGAACTGAAAGATGAGAATGCAAGGGTTTACAAGCTCCTCAGTGAGAAAGATTTTGAAGTTCGTCAAATTAAAAAGAAGCGAGAAGACCAAGCAAGAGGTACATGCTTACATTTTAAGATATTCATTAACATTAAGCATGATTATAAGATTTAATCGTAAGTCAATTACATACTGATATTTTTGCAACCTTTAGTTTCAGGAGCTGTTACTAATGAAACAGCTGCAACAAAAATTGTGGAATTATCCAAAAAGGTCCGAGATCTGAATGCTGAATTAGAATCAGAGAGAACTAAATCTAGGCAATATGGCAAAAAATGCATGGATCTACAGACTCAGGTAGAAGTTATAATTTTGTATTACGTGGATGATGTAGTCTTGTGTGTGCATACATTTTGATGATGCTGATTTTCATGAGGTGATCCAGATTTAGCTATTATATGGTCTTATGTCTCATATGTGTGCAGAAAAGGAAATTTTTTCTGAATCTACCTGAATATGGAATTTCAATTACATTACTCTTTATACCGGTATAGTATAGACAAATGAAACTCAGATTTACTTATCCACGGAACTATTAGTATACCCATGCAGTGTAAGGTCATTTAGATTAAATATTAAAGGGTTTTTTTTATTTTTATAGCTGAATAAAATACCTGAAGATACTAGGTCAATGATAAGTTCAGCGACCAGCCGGTCCACATTAGAGGATAAGGTATTTATACTTTATAGTTGTCATCCTTTTAATTTCATTTGTCATATGTATCATGTTGTAGTACTTCCATAAAGGCAGCTTCTGCTTTCAGGTAGCATGATATTAAATTACAATAGCATGTTTTATGAAGGTTTATTGTTTATTTTTACTTGTAGCCAGATGATTCTGTAGATATGAAGGCTTTACAAGACAAATTAAAATATGCTGAAAACAAAATGGCTGAATTCAGAAACCAGACCTCCGTACTAAAACAGGAACTCAAAATGGTTCATAAGGTAATATATACATTTGTGGTATCTCTCTCTCTTATATAAACATACAGAGAGCAAATATCTTCATACCTGTATGAAGTTTTTCGAAGGTCATAGGTCATTTCGTGACCTAATCACACAGCTCAGTAATATCTACATAAAAAGACTTACTCTACTTAGCAATATATTATGTTTTTCATGTATAAAAATGTACAAAATACGCAAGTAAAATAATAATCATTTTATTAACAATGTTAACAAGTATTTAACACAGTTCTTGATCGCTTTTACATAGAGAATAGAGAGCTGCATGTTATAAGTTTCATGTCTGAGCTGCAATATGTTTACCCTTATTTTTCTTGTAGACCTCTGAATGCTATAATTTTTTTTTCATTAAACTTTACTCACAGTAAATTTGAAAATCTGTTGAAAAATATCAATGTAATGCAATCACGCCACAAACAGCTGACAAACACTGCAGTTCGGGAGTTCGGTAGGCACACCTCCATCTCGAGATCGTTGTCTTAACAATGTAAGCTGTCGCCAGTGTCTCCATGTCAACATCATAATAAATATGCCTTTATACTGAAATCGTAGATATTATGTTTCTGATCCAATTTTATACTTGATTTCAAGTTAACTGGTCAGGACAAGTGTCTCCATCCATCCCTTTCCGACCGAAATTCCTCCAACATCTAATTATCAAACATCGGACGTGTTTCTTGTGTTTTTTTAACATCGAATATGTGTTCTCATGAATACAAAAATATTCCCAGACACCAATATGCTCCTTTCACAGAATATTCCCTTCAAAACAGAATCCTTTGCCAGATGAATTTGAACGTAACCACTTTTCAAGCTGATTTACACCTTGCATAATTTGTCAAAATCTACGACGAACAGTTAGTGCAATATTTACATCTGATTGTCTGTCTCAAATGAATATATAAGTAATAAATAACAAGTTTAAAAACTTCACTGGGAAATGAAGTGGGTCGGTACGTGATCAAATCTTCTGAGAAGGCCTTTGGCCTTCACAGGATTTGATCATGTGACCGACCCACTTCATTTCCCAGAGAAGTTTTTAAACTTGTTATTTATTTCTTAATTAAACTACTTTATTAATTGAACAGTCTGTATATTGCTTCAACAATTACCAACTTATTGGTATCTCAATTGCTTTTGATTTGCATAGAACCATTCGCATACCAAATTTCATTGCAATTCATGCTGTCATAGCATTACCACAATTCCTATGCCTTGAGGAATGTATAACAAAACTCATAAGTTCATTTCACATTTATTAACTTGGAAACAGTAGTATTGCACCAATTATTATAGTCACACATTTTCAAATACAACAATTGTCAACATTCACTGTAAAGTCACTGTAAAGTCTACGGATAATGGACATAAATGGCCACATTGTCCCCAAATCTTATATGAGGTCTGGGGTTACGGCCGAAATACCAACACACAAAGGTGCATAACGGGCATGACGGAGGCCTTGTGTTGAGCACAAGTGCCGGTGAAGTCCCAATGCTTGACAACTAGCATGTGGACGGGAATGGCCTGGGACATATCTGTTTACGCTGTTTCCAGAAGATTGCTCCCTGGTTCGATAGTACTTACTGACACTGAGTACTCCAGACTGTGAGCCTTCCCTCCTTTTAAAAGAGGTGAAGGGGGCACCAAGTATGGCTTAAACTTGTAGAACCCCAACCATAAACTACATAAGGGGTAATACTTTCCCCACAAACAACAACTGCCCTCTGTCCTAGTTGACAGATGGGGGAAACACAGGCCAGAAATGTCTCGAAAACCCCCCTTAGGTCCCCCCAGACCCGCCAAACACAAAAGAGGACAATGCGACAGATTAAGGGTATGTAATTAAAAGTCTTTGGATAGTTGATCTTAAGTTTTGATTTGTGTCACTAAATGAGGTTTGAAAAGAAAATTGTTCATGATTATAGGGTCCTGAACAAGGATTAGTTTTCCCTTCGGTGGTCTGGCTGTTAAGATTTATCGTCTTGGATGCCGATTGGTGTTGTCAATCCCCGACTCAACTTTTGGTGAATCTGAAAAATGAAAAACTGGACGCAGATTACTGTTGCATTGGTTAAAGTGAACATTGTATAACATTTTGACATAATTTATTACAGAAAAAAGGGGGGCTGGGGTGGGTGGGTTTTTAGCTATACTTGGAACTAACAATGTGACTGCTTCAGCGGGAAATTGTGAAGAGGAAGTTGAGGAATTTGTTAAGTTGTACCACAGTTCACTTCCTGTGGGTGTGCTTAAACAAGTTGTACCTAAATGATTCTTCTTTCCATATGACTTACATGTAACTTCCGTCAATTAAGAGTGATTATTTGTATATTTCATAAAATAATCTTTATTAAAAAAAATCGGGTGTAAAGTTGCATTCAAAAAGTGAAGCGAAGAGTTGTATGAAGCAAAGCATGTCAACTTACTTTATTTTGATTAAATGAACAATTAAAAAAATAGCAAAAATGTAATTCTTATGTAAAAGATGTAAGACATATTAGAAGTGACTACTGCAGTTTATAATACATTACAATACTTTTTAAATGACATTTATTATAAATACTGGTACAGAGACATGGTAATTGTAATTTTAAAACCTGCACATTGATTGGAAATCAATATATTTCTTTCTGTTAAAGTATGTGTATATGAATTGAGGTGAACGAATTTAAAGAAAAAGTATTCTCTAGTTATCAAACAGAATAAAAATGACACACAGAAACAACTACATTTGAACTTTGGTATCTCTATTAAACAACACTATCTCAAATACCTTGAATATGTTGAACTTAGTTGGCAGTCACAACCACTTGATCTTTAGTATTTTAGCCTCAATATCTTGAGTCCTTGGAATATTCATTTTTTATTTCTTGGTCTCTTAGAGTTTGAGATAGCAAGGTTTGACTGTACTTTCAATGAGTTTCTTTGATTAGAGTCCTTTGATCTGAGATTTTTAAAGTAGATGGCTATTTTTAAGAGGTATTGTGTCTTATAGGTGCTAAGTCAGGAGCTGGGAGACAATGTTAACATTCAGTCACTACTGAACAGCCAGAGCAACTGGAAAGGAAGGGCTCAACAAATTATGATGCTACAAAAGAAGGCAAGCACAGATTGAATAAGTTTTGTAGATTTCTCTCTCTCTCTCTCTCTCCCTTCTTTTATTTAATGAAAAATTTTCCAAGAATTTTTTATGTAAAGCAACATATATAAGCTTTAAGGTCCAGTCTTTCTATAAATACCTGAAAATCATGATTCTTCTTTTTGGTGGTGTAGGTTGATGAGCTAAAGGCAGAAATTTCTACAAAAAAGCCACAGAAAGAGAAAGAGTATGATCTGGAGGCTGAGATGCTGGGGACTGGAAATAGTTCTGCTCGACAGAGAACGGCCATAGAGAAGCACAGAGAACAGCTGAGAAAGATCGAGAAAGAGAGGAAGGAATCTCAGGAAGTAAGAGAAAACCAAGACTTAATTACTCTAAAGTCTTTAAAAATACTAATAATCAAAGAAAAATGTTTTGCAACTTTGGCATTAACTTTTCTAGAAAGCTGCCAACGAGCTCAAGGCATTAGAAGAAGAACATGCAGCATTAAAGAAGAAGTTTGATGCTGCCAGAACTAGGTAGATAGCAACTAAAATTTCAGTATCGATCCCTTTTTGGAATAATTTTTTATGCCCCCTTCGAAGAAGGGAGGGCATATTGCTTTGCTGCTGTCTGTCGGTCGGTCGGTCTGTCTCACAGTTGGTCCACCAACAGTTTCCATTCATTTTCATTGCAGAGGTTGTACATACTGAAGTGAAATTTGGTATATAGATTTATAAAAATATCTAGGTCAAGTTCTGTTTCGGGTACAGTCGAGCAATTTTCGATAGAGTTATGCCCCTTGGACTTAGAAAAATTCCAATAATTTGGGGAGGGGGTGGGGCATAAGTGTTTCACAAACATCTCTTGTTACAATTATTTCAGAGTAACGGTAGATATTTTTAAAACTTGCTCACTTTATTGATTGTGGAGTGGAAAAAATAATACTAAAAAAAAAAACAGAAGAGTGAAATACAAATGACAATGAGGATTATTCCTTTCGAATTTTCAGGAACCGTATTTTGTCAAGTGAAATCCTTGCCTTGAAGGGTCACTTGAGGGTATTACTTGACAAGGGGACCCATGATGATGAGTTGATAGAAGCTTTAATGGTATACACAGAGCAGATTTATCTCTGTCACTAACAGATGGCTATTTGCAATGATATAATGATTGCTTATGTTGTAATTTCAGTGCATTTCAGAATTGATGTATGCATAAGTTGACTATGATGTTAGCATTACCTTAAATAGATTTTTGTTGCAATTTAATGTCGCCAATTCAACTCTGTTGTTTGATAAATCAGAGTGTGTTCTATTGGACATTTGTGGTAAATAGAACTTTGATAACAACATTAACTTTTCAGTTGCTTTGAAAGCATGGAGGCTTAAATTTGTTTCCAATAATACATAAAACTATGTTTCTTGCATGAACATTAACATTAGTCTAAAAAGCATACTGTAAATGTATTATATTTAGTATGTACAATACAGTTGAACTTCAGTTTCTCGAACACTGATATCTCGAATACCATGGATATGTCGAAGTGACTTTGAAGTCCCAAGTGCTTATTTCTTAAGTATTTTACCTTGGATATCTCGAATCCTCGGATATCTCGAAGTATTTTCTTGGTCCCATTCAGTTCAAGATAGTGAGGTTTGACTGTATTTGGCAGATTTTGATTTTTCAGCAAGCTGGCATAGATTTCCGAATGTGCAAGATATAAATGTACTTGATTTAGCAGAAGCTGCTTTCCACCATAGGCTCTCAAAAGAATACCCAGCCAAATGAAATACCTTTACAGTAACTTGACTGAATTTAGACAACAGTGGTTCACACTGTTATAACCTGTATACCTGCAGTTTATCATCGTTGAGGTTGACGTCTTTACCACAAATGTCCATTACCCTGAATAGTTTGATCTTCAGTGTTGTTCATGTTTGATCAGATTTTAGATTTAATACATGTATGTTTGCACTTTCCGTGTTCAATTAATGTAGTCATTAATAATAATATTTAGTAGTTGACAATGATTTTACTGTTGATTGCATGCATCATCTGATTTGAGCTCTGTTTGAATGTGTTGCTTACAGAAATAGTGTGCTAGCAAATCAAAACAAGGGCATAAAAGAGCAGATGAAGACATTGTTGGATAAAGGACACCATGATGATGAACTTATTCAGGCTTTGATGGTAGTGAAATCGCTGTTTACTCACAAATGCTTTGATTTAATATTTTTCAAAATTTTGCCTCGTACAAGGACACAATTAGGAAATTATGTTTTATCCAAGTATTTGTATCAATTCAAGCTACTGATATGTTTCTTTATTTTTTTAGAAAAAGACTAAATAGAATGCACTTATTGTGCAATTAATTTACATGTAATGTACATCCTTAAAAATCACATAAGTATTAAAAAATGGAATAGAATGCACTCACTGTACAATTAATATATCCTTAGAAATCACTTAAAAATATAAAATTACCACAGAAACAACAGAGCCATCTACAGCAATTGTTGGAGCAGACTGCCAATCAGCAAAAAGAAACATCACAGAAGTCACAAAACGAAATTAAACAAATGTCCATGAAAACCCAACAGGACAGTAATGTGGTGGAACAACTCAAGGCCATTGTTGCTGAAAAAGAAGCCAAAGTTCACAGGCTAGAAGATGAGATTCAGCAACTTAAACTCAATGTAAGTTATAAGGGAGGGGACACAACAGAGTATAATACTAGGTTGATAGGATTAAGTATTTTGAAATGCTTCATGACTTTTTTTTTAAACCATTTTAAACATTACATTAATAATACTTTATCCAAGTACAATTGAATCTCGTTATCTATAACTTGATGGGACCAAGAAAAAACTTCAAGATATCCAAGGGTAAAATACTTAAATAAAAAGTGCTTGGAACTTCCAGTTCACTTTGATATATCCATGGTATTCGAGATCTCTGTGATGAGATTCCAAAGTTCAACATTATGAATATGATTCTAATTCAACAGAGCCTATAAAGCTCTGTCTATTACCGGTAATTTTTCAACTTCTTCTCAATAACCACTTGGCAATTTTCAACAAAACTTGGCACAATTCAAGCATCTGTTGGTGAATGAGACACAAATTTGTTTAAATGGAAAAGTTTATCCTTTCCTGTTAAAGAATGAGTGAACTTAACACCCTATTTTGGATCTTTTTAAGATTCCTCTATCAAGCTGTAAATGAAGTGAATCCAAAATATATTACAAGCAATAGAAAGAGCTACATATACATGGTTATATTAGGTAGAAAATTTGTACAAAAGCAATGCCTTGTTGCTATGAATCAAGATTGAAGGAACAATTGATACATTAGTGTCGCCGTCCTGAATTTGACATGTACCTGGAGTGGTTTTTAGGTCATATAATCAATATTAATAGGAGGCGGGGCTATTGATCGGCGTCAGTGTCGACATCTCTCTCTCTCTCTAGAAATTCAAATATGTGTATGGTATATTACAGCAATGTCAATATGAAATTTTAGAAAATGTGAGGACACGCAAAATTATAATAACATTTAATAAAATTTGCTAAATTCTGAAAATTGCAACCAAACATGCTCCAAGACGTGATTTAGATTGAGGTCAGGTTGAAGAATACAATGTAATTGTTTTCACGAGTACACTCACAGGTGGACATCATGTGATGAATTGTAGTATTCAACAGGTCAATTGAAGTCAAATCAAGGTTAACGCAGTCATAATCTTCAATGGAAGCGAGAAGTTTGTTTTGAACATGTTTTTTGTAAAATTAAGTATGAGTGTATGTTTGTCAGCTCTTCTCCTTTTAATATGACATTATTTTCTTCAATATACAACTCAATTTTCTTAAGAAGAGCTGACAAATTTGCACTGACTATGTATTCAGACGATGAAAAACGGGCGACCCTGATTATCTATTGATATTCAAGAAATCTGCGGGTCCCATGCCTTCGATATTTATTTTGTTTTTCTTGAAAAGAGAATTTTAAAATCACATCTGTACCACTGATATATGGGTAAGATATCGGGGATTTATATAATGGAAAGAAATAAGCATTTTAATACACTTTAATTTATGGCATTTTTTCAGGACACTTGAGTCCACCCATTCTGTGATGCCATATATTGTTCACCTCTTGACTTTCAAGTAAAAGTCCTGGCAAGGGCAAAAGAATCTGGGTTGATTTCTGGGGTTGGGGGGGGGTGTTACATTATGGAGGGTGGAATGTGGTGGTCAGACAGGTTCCATCATCAGTGGTCAGACAACTCAGTTGGTAGAGCACCTGTCGTAAGAGTTCATGGGACTCTGATTTGAATCCGGGTACATGTTTGTTGCATTGCATTTTCTCTATTCATATTATATTTGGAATATAAATATTCAATATTTATATAAATAAATGCCAAAATAGGGTAGGATAATTTAAAAATTCTCTTCTGAAGAACCACTGAGACAAAATTCCTGTGAAAGCTTCCTTATGTGTACACTTTTAAGTTTGTAAATCATGATCCAGAGTCTGTGCATGTGCACAATAAAAAAACATTTCAACCACAATTAGTCAAAGTAGTATGTAAAAAAAAAAATGGATTTTAGTAATCAGTACAAATAATATGCAAGATTGATCCCCATTTAGTGTGGATTGTAAATTCAGATTTCCTCAATTGTGGCCTTGACGTAAAAGTTGGGCCACATAAGTTAGGTCAAAAGCTAATACAGGCATAACTAGTAACAACAAGGTTTTGTGAACTTACTAGCAATGAGTATAATGCAGCTAGGTTATTAACTGTAAAGCAATAAAGCATTTCATTTTACACATTTTCTGTCAGATAACAAAAATATGACCCAGGTGAGCATAATGACCTTGGGGCCTCTTAAGTTGGCTTTTAGTTTTGTGTCACATGTTGATTTCTGGATTGATTCTTTGCAGCATCTACAGAGAGCTCAGATGGAGTCGGCAAATATGCTTTTCCAGCCAGCAGGACAAAGACCACCCTCCTCAGCTCAGGTGACCCAGAGGGATTCCAGACCTGCAACAGCTGAAAATGGGGACATCCAGCTGGACTTCCAGTTAGATCCACACACCCCATCAAGTTCAAGGTAGAAATCAGGATTTTTAATTAAGAATTACTTATCATTCAATGTGGTAAATATCATTATTTGATATTTTATTGACATGATTTGGAGGCAGATCAGAAGAATTAAATTCACTAAGTTATATGCATTGATTTGAAAACATTTTTTGAATCAGTGCTTATAACTTGCATACTTAGCTGCATTTTCTCTTGTGTAACAATGACATCATCAGAAACAACCAGGCTTGATATGTATTATGATTATATGCTGTTTGCAGAATGAGTGATAAACCTCCAGTCATAAACAGTGCACTGGACCGGTGTCCCTCTGTCACCAGTACAGTAGACACAGCACGTCCACCATCCAGAAAAATGGACAACAATACAGCAGAGGTGACCAGGAGTGCCTCTAGGAAAGGAACCATACGCACACCTTCATTTCACATGTAAGAAATGGACATAGTACATGTATTGGTTTAAAACAGTATTTCTGTTACATACATATACTTATCAAAACTTTTAGTGATATGTGTATCAACATTATGTCTTGTACATGTAGATATATTCCTAGTTCTTGGCATTTTAGAATTTTACTAATACATTTATAAGCATTTTTGATGTTTATGGTCAGTTGTGTTCAATGACCAAGCATTACCAAAAGAAACCAGTGTATATTTTCATAAGCTGTATACAGAGAAATTTTTGCCTCCATTTCATTTCCACCCTTGTCGCAAATGGGTGAATTTAAAATGGGGCAAATTCAAAGGAAGCATCATTATCACTTACTAGTACATCAGCTGTGTCTGGTTGAATTTAAAATGAGGCAAAATTGTTTGCAAGTGTGAAAGGGCAAAAATAACATGGGGCAGAAATAACTCTGTATACAGTAGCATTGCAACTCAATCGAGTGGCGGATTTGAAGTTTCGATTATAAGTACATAAGCTTTGACAGATTTGATGATTACCTTTTATTTTCACCAGGAGTAATACTGATAAACAAGCCATGGCTGAACTCCAGGCCCAATGTCAGGAATACAAGACTATATATCAGGTGGCTCAGGTGGAAAGAGATAAACTATCGGAACTAGTCAAGGTGTTAGAAAAGAGGTAGGTCATCCATCTTATTACAGAGAAAAGAGAAGGTACATGTACTTTTATTAATCTGATAATTTTGTGGGCAATGTTTCGAAAGTACAGTTGAACTTTGGTATCTCGAAAATGGATATCTCGAACACCAAGGATATGTCGAAGATTGGGATGTCCTAATCACATATTTTTTAAGTATTTTACCCTCGATATCTTGAACCCTTGGATATCTCGAAGTTTTTCTTGGTCCCATCAAGTTCGATATAACAAGGTTTGGCTGTACAGTCAAACCTTGTTATCTCGAACTCGATGGGACTGAAGAAAAACTTCGACATATCCGAGGATTCGAGATATCCAAGATAAAATACTTAAGGAATAAGCAGTTGGGACTTCCAAATCACTTCAACATCTCCATGGTATTGGAGATATCAGTGTTTGAGATATCGAAGTTCAACTGTATTTCATTTTTGAAAAACTACATATTTTCAGTTACATTTATTCATCACAGATACTGAACTTGGAATGCAAATCACTTATGTATTTCAAATAAAGAGAAACTTTTAAAAATTAATTTGATTATAGGAATGAGGAAGCTTCCCAAAAATATTTAGAATGTCAGAATGAACTTGTCCAACAGAGACGCAAGAATGCTCTGCTTGAAAAACAGGTCGGCAAAAGTAAAATAGATCAGACTGGAACAAAAGGGGGAAGTGGTGAGTAATAGATATTAGGAAATTGATGAGATGTTTTCTTTTCAAGTTTCTTGTGCACTTAGATTGACTTTTAAATGCTTATATAAAATGCTCAGAGAGTTAAAAGATGAGACTTTAAATAATCCAACATATGCAGTAATGATAATTTTAAATTTTAAGTGCATTTTAAGTGCAAGGAAATGAATTAAAAGTAAACAAAGAATGATTTTTAGCTGCAGTTGGAAAGAAAAAGGTGCTTGGAAACAGGGCTAGCAGCATGACAAATGTGTCAGTGTCAGCCAGTTTTTCTGCAGGTTTGACAAATGAAGAGAACGAATTTGAAGATTATGAGGAAATAAAAACGAAGTAATTATGAAATTTTTTCCATTATTTTCATCTGAAACAATAAGAATTTTCATTAAGCTTGTATTACTCCATGTGTATTTGAGTTTTACTTAAAGATTTATTACATGACCTTTTGAGATAACTGTCACTGGGAAGAAAAAAAATCATTATTCCTTTATAAAATTGTCAAGTTAAAAATTGATTTTGGTCGAATTTTGCCAAGCAAAATTTGCTGACTTTGTGTGTATTCTAATTATGTATTAAATCTCTTTTTGAAACATAAGTTTAAGGTAATTTTTTTAAAGAATGAGCAGAGGATTGTTGAACCTTAAACAAAAGAAAAAAAAATGATGTCTCATTTCTTTCTTTTCTTAAGTCTGGAGATTCAGAGGGATGAAAATGAAGCTCTGAAAGCAGCCTTACAAAGTACTCTTAAGGCAAAAGAAGAGGATCTCCGAATGTTTGGAGAAATGATGGAAGAGACAAAGCAAGTGTTTCTACAGGCACTGAGACAGTACAAACAAAATGCACAAGGAACATAGTCTTAATAATTAGGAATTTTATTTATTTGTTGACATTATTTAAAGACTGTTTTGACATTGTGCTCAAGTTGTTGTAAATAAAGTAATGTATACTTGTGCATCATCGTTGGATACACACGAGTGATCTCGTCTTTTAGTCATTGCCCGTGGTCAAACACGCTGAAATATTGTCGTATGTAATTAATATGTGCATTTCATTTGATTAGCTGCTCCACAGAGTCGCGATGGCAAATCAACAAATTAAAGTTTACGTTACGTATGTATGTTTGGCGATGACTAAAACTTTTCCGTAGTTAACACATGGATTGCAATTAAATCCACTCACCAGTGCATTTCGCTGTTTGAGAAAGGTACTCCCATATAATTTCTTACTGGCATTTGATATAAGTGACCTGTAAAATTTGTCTTAAATTGTTTTAAAACAAAGTTTGCACCTTTTAACGAGCGTCAAGACATTAAGCATAAAAAGCAAACTATTCAACATATTTTCAAAATTGAAGAGTTCCAATTTTCTGATTGGCTGTCTATAATCAACAAATTAGCATATTTTACAACGATTATTTTGGCGAGTTTGCCCATGGGTGATGGGTAAAAGACGAGATCATCCATGGGTATGTGACTATGCTTGTGTATGTATTGTAAGGTTTATTAAATTAACAACAGGAGTCCTAAATTGAAGTGTACATGTTCTTCATTCTCTGAGAAATAATTTTGTAACATGTCAGATGCAATCCAATTTAGGATTAAATCCATCTTTTTTATTTTTTTTTTGGTTAACATTTACTTAATTTGTTGGCTTTTTTGGCTCACCTCCTTGAAGTCGAGATAAGTTATGCTATACCCCAGCCTAGGCGTTAGCCTCAGCATCCCAGTTAAAGTTTCAGGAGCAAGTCATTCCTAAGCCAAACTTTCATGGATGATGCATCTATGGAGTTCACTACCAGGCTTGATCCAGATCATGGATCTGACTTACATTTTCCAGATGAGTGAACAGGCTTAAGTTTATGAGTATGTACATTCCAAAGTTACTTACCAATGCAAACTTGCAGGGATGATGCATCTCAGGATGTACACTATCCAACCTGCTTTGGATGCTGGATCTGACCTACATTTGATGCATATATAAGGATGGACAGTATTAGACTTGCATGGGATTCTGAATCTGACCTACATTTTCCTGCTCCACAAACTAAATTAACTCATCCGGAAAATGTAGGTCAGATCAAGCAACCAAGCAAATCTGGTAGAGTCCATTCCTAGACCAACATTCATGCATTACTCCAAAAACTTTAACTTGGTCATTCATCTGGGAGTAGATACCTATCGGACTTTCTTTGGATGCAGGATCTGACTTACATTTCCCAGATGAATGACCAAGTTAAAGTTTTTGGAGTAATGCATGAATGTTGGTCTAGGAATGAACTCTACCAGATTTGCTTGGTTGCTTGATCTGACCTACATTTTCTGGATGAGTTAATTTAGTTTGTGGAGCAGGTACATTCCCAAGTGACAATAAGTCCTACTGAAATGAAACTTGCATGGAAATCAATTTTGATGGATACTCTAACTAGGAACAAAATTTGGTGTGAGACTTGCCTTTCTCATAGGTAACATTTGTCAAGGTGAGCTTCATAATCTTTGATTACCTGTGTTTTGGGGTAACGTACATAATAATTCCCATTACCAGTTAAGGGAAGAAACGCACATTTCTTATAAGGCACCTAGCTCCACTTTTTTTCCTCTAAAAATGAATAACTTCATCATCCATCTGTGCACTTCTAAAATTTTGCTTTCATGCTAATGATTTTCCAGAAGAAATCAAATTCATAATTAAATACGGACAATTTTTAAGCATATCTTATAGCTGGTTTCTTTAGTGATGTAAATAATAAAATTTGGCGGTTTGTTTGCCCAAAGATGTGCCAGTAATTTGAAGGATTTTTTTCTGGCAGACACAAAGTTCCACGACATTGCAAACCAGTAGAATTATGCCACTCAAAAGGAGAATGCTGCAGGTATCTGATATTTGCAAAGAAACACTAAAACCAATAATTTTACATCAAAATAGGCCAAATCATGAATTACCGTCGTAATGAGTTCAATGCAGATGTGCAGAAAAGGATCTTTGAAACTGATCAAAGTTATCTTTCTTGCATTTAGTATATATACACAACCGGGTGAAAATTTTGCAATTAAAATTTTAGCCGATACTGCAAAACACTAAAATAAGCCAAAGTTAGCAGGTGCTAAAAATTAATTAATTCTTGCCATACAGTAACTTCCTATGCATAATTTGACATAATCGCATCTTAACTTGATAGTTTTATGTAGAAAGGAATCATGAAAACGTATCCCAAAAGCTTGATCAAAGTGTAGATGAGTCTGATAATCTTCCATATGTCTTTTGTTGTCTTTTAGGATATTTTTTTTAAATGTTTCTCAAGAACCTCCGAGTCTGTTTCATGCAACTGAAAATGAATTGATACAATATGTCACTGCATGGCTGAATGGGATTTAATTTTGTGTAACACGAAGGGAGAAAGATGCAACAGACCAGACCAGGATTCAGGTGCTCTACCAAGATGTCTGGCCTCTAGCGATCAAACCTATCTGACTTTGGGCCCCCTGAATAAATAAGTCAGGTGCTCTACCATCTCAGTTATCTGCATGGCCACCGGATAATCAAACATGCCTGACCCCCAAATTTGGTCAAATGAGAAGTCTTTTATCCTCCAAGGAAATAAAATTGAGAGAGAATACATGCATGTATATGAAACACAAAGATGATTCATCCCACACAAACAGACATCATTTTTTGGTCACCTGCAGAGCGACACTTATAGGGATCACTTTAGCCTGTGTCTGTCTCTGACACTTCATATCTTGAGAACTGTAAGAAGTATGAATTTAATGTTTAGCACATACTACATACCTTGGCACTATGGCTTTTGTAAAATACCAACCCACCCTCTTGACCTTTGACCTACTTTTCAAAATACTTCATAGAGCCAACACACATGTACAGCTTATTATTTTTGACATTTGATTTGAGAGGTAAGTCTATGCTATTTAGCATGTGCACTGTTTATCAAATTAGATACACATACCAGGTACTATGAAAATTATCAGCATGACAGTCCACTTAACCATGACCTTTGACCTCCTTTACAAATTTTCAATGCAACTTTATTTAGTTTCTCCAAAATCGTTTTGGAGCGATTGTGATATTTTCTGCTACATTGCCGGTATATGGGAGACATTCTGACTGTGGCGAGGGCCTGTCCTGAGGCACAGTTAGATTATTATACCCCACACAACAAGTTGCGGGGGGTATAATGTTTTTGACCTGTCAGTCAGTCTGTCAGTCCTGTTTTTTTTTGTCAGCGCAACTCCTCTTAAACCGCTGCACAGAATTTCGTCAAATTTTGCAGATATTTAGGACACAATGTGTAGATGTGAATATTTCCAGGAAATTCCGATTCCTTTATTTTTCTGGGAATTGCGGCACTTTTCAAATTAGATTTTTGGCCATATCTTGAATATAGAGATGAACAGATTGTTAGCACAACTCCTCTTAAACTACTGCACAGAATTTGGTCAAACTTTGCAGATATTTAGTACACAGTGTGTAGATGTGCATATTACCAGGAAATCCCAATTCCATTATTTTTGCCCTAAGAGTTTTGCCTATTATTGAAGAAACTTTCCAGCTAGGTAATAAGGAAATCCACTGGAATCAGCTTTAATTAATTTGTAATGAAATTTTATGTGAAATATTTTATGACCTTAAAAGACCCCCCCCCCTCAAATTGGTGCTATACAGGAAAAGAATTTTCTTCTCCATAACTGAAAGGCCATGTTAGTCATATTATTCTGAAACATCCCCATGTTGAGAGGACAGAGATGGTCTTAGAGTGGGGCCATAATATGGGTTTCTAATCAAGACTTGAAACCAAGTCCACTGGAACTCAGTACATCAACTCGTGACGATTTTTCATGGGAATATAAATTTTTTTTATAATCTGTAGAACCAGCAGGGCTAAGTTACTAAGGTGAGCGTTGTGGCCCATGGGCCTCTTTATGAAAGAGTTATCTTTCGTTGCGTATCTCGAAAAGATGGAATCGATGAAAGCGGCAAAGACAGAGTAGACCAGATGTTGTATAACAATTTGTGGAATATTTGTGAGTAGAATTTTTTTTCATTAGACTAGTTGTGTCGATAAACACAAGTTTGTGATGAGTTAACCATTCATTATACTGCAAAACCAAACGAAGTAATCCTAGTTTCACTTTCACTTTGAAGTTGGAACGTTCATATACTACGGACTCGGTTTAACCTGTTAACGATATGTGGTGAGGGTTTGTCCCGAGAAACAATTAGATTATTCTAACTACTTTGAAGTAGATTCTAAATCAAGTAATTGAATTTGAAGTGTTTGTCACAATAGAATCTTTTTTTTCATTTCATTAGTTGAAAATATTGATCATTTTGATCAACATGTAAATATCCTTCAATGTAGATCTACATGTTCAAGACGAAAATGATTGATTCGTGCTTTTTTAAATAGAAGTGGCAATGTTTTTAGACAGTAGTGTGAATACATATCACAAATATATGTGTGTAATTTGTGAATAGACATAGTATATAATCAAAAAATTATAATGCATATGAATTTATGAATAAGCAAGCCCAGTCCAAAGACTATTTCTACCTACATAGCTATTATAATAGCTACGTAGGTATTTAAATCTATCGAAAGTAGCTATTTTACCTACTTTTTGCATCACTTGCATTTTGTGGCCAAACAGCTGAACGGCACAACATGGTGAGTACCAATTTTCTTGCTACAGTAACACTAATGATGAATACAACAAAATTTTGACCAAAAAATGATTACTTCATAAATTATCAATTTTGCATAGTAATTAATGCAAAATTGTTAATTTACGACGTAATCATTTTTTGGCCAAAATTTTGTTGTATTCATCATCAGTGTGACTGTATTAAGAAATTTGGTATTCACCATGTTGCGCCGTTCAGCCGTTTGGCCACAAAATGCAAGTAATGCTAAAAGTAGGTAAAAATAGCTACTTTGGGTAGGTTTAAATACCTACGTAGTTATTAATAGCTACGTACTAGGTAGAAATAGTCTTTGGACTGGACCTGATAAGATGTGATTTCCTTGATGCTAGAAATTGATTTTAAAAGGCGCTTTATGATTAACATGCATATATATATATATATCGGTAATTAAATCAGTGCAATTTTATCAGAAAGTAAGGCCAAGAATTAAAAAATTATTTCCACTTTCAGGCTGAAAAAAAATTATAGGTAATATGTCACGTAGGTAGGCACTTAAAAAAAAATCCTTGACTTAAAAAAAAACATCCAAGAAACACTGATGACAAAAGAAATAGTGTTTTTAAAGAATTCTGTGACTTAATTAAATTGATTGCAGAGATTCTTAAACATCAGACAAAAACTGAAAATTCAGATTTTCACTAAAAAAAAAAAAAGCATTAAAAAAAATTTATATATAAGGGTCGGTTGGGAAAGTGGAAAGAAACGTTTTTTCTAGGCCTACCAAATCATAGCTTGCTGAGAGATGAGTATTCATTTGATATCCTAGCTGATGCTTATAGAGTAAGCACTAGGTCCTACATATATAATAC